ATTTTAAATACTGTTCAACTACCTACTCTAGTGATTCTCAACCAGATAACCTGTAAAGGCATATGGAAGTAAGTGACCATCCTTGCTCTTCCCCTTCATCCTCCTCCCTCTGCCCAAAAGAGAAATAATTTAGCAAGGTTGTATAGATTAGTGCTGAGATGATGGGTGGCTCTGCACATGCTAACTTCCAAATGGTGCTACCCTGCCTGAGATTGTAGTGATAGTTAGGTTGCCTGCAGAGAGAATAAGCCCTGCACAAATGCAAAGAGGCTGTGAACACCTGAGGGATAAGACGACACGGTCATAAGATCAAAAATGTTGAACTACTGTTCTATGGCACTTAGTAGGCTGGATTCTTATAGCCTACCTGTTGCACTAGATTTAATATATTACTATATATTGCCTTCAGTATTATTTTTAGCCAAGTGCTTAAGCTTAATATTGTTCACCAATGGATACACTGCTGCTTACCACAGGTTTAGTCATAGATCTTGGTATTTTACAAAGGAGACTGAATCAATTACTGGTGAGGAAACTGTTAGCAAGAAAGTGACTTGCCCTAGTCATCCTATGGGTTTGAGGCAGACTGGGAATACAGTTTTGGTGTCTTGCATCCTAACTTACTGTTTTAAAAATAGTCCTTGGCCCCTAATTGTATCTGATCACATACAGAAGATAAGAAAGGAGAGGTGTGTGGGATTTGTTTGTTTTTTTTTTTAAAGACTTTTTGGATCAAACTAATTGTTTAGTAATACTAACTTAGAAAACAATATTTCAGCAGAAGATCCTCTATTCCATCTCTTCAAGTGATCACAGTATAGGATTTTGCTCTTAATCTTTCCACTATTAAAACTTTCCACCTGCAAATATAAAATGTATTAGTTTTGTTTTAAAACTGTAAATAATGGCATCTGAAACTTAACATTCTCAATAGATTTACTGACTTAGCTTGATCCATTCGAGTTCTAATTTTCATTAGAGTACTACATACAGACACATTAGTCTCTGCAATAGGAACTGCATGTTAGTGTAATAACAGACAATATTTAAAATGCCCTGCCAGGTTAGACCTCCCAAAGATGAGATGAACTAGAATGTGTAGAGAGCTTGTCAGTCCTCCACTGCATAAGAGCAACAAGTCTATTCCATCCTAAATTGTAATTTGCAATGAGATACTTATGCTACTCTAACATAGAAGAAAAAGTAACCTCCTAATGTTGCCTCTTCAGAAGATGCATCTGCAAGTGCAAGATGCTACTGAGTGAAGCAAGAACTTGGCTCACACTTAGTCCTTTATTTCCTAAGTTGATAACAGGTCATACTGATTGCCCTACCTCCTTAATACTAATGAACCAGAAGTAGTTGAGTAAAATGCTGGGGAGGAGTGGGAAGGGGGGGGGAAAGAAGGGGAAAATGGGAATATGGAACTCAAAGAGGAGACAGCTTTGGGATAGCTTTTCATAAAGCATAAGTTAAGATCCTACTAGTATTGACTCTTGTACTTGGGGCCTGACAGGGAGTAAAATGTAAAAACAATAAACATGCAGGCAGTAGGTGGTTAGGGACAGTCCAAAGAATGAGCAGACCGAGGGTTTGGGAACAGTTCAAATCCCATGAAGCAGTAAAGTTGAGTTTAGACTACAAAACCAGTTTTGTTTTTAACTGCTAATATTTTAATACACTGCTAAAAGACACACACTGATTTCTATACACCTCTTGTTCCCTTCCCTTCCTCCCCGCCCCAAGGTAAGTAACCATACCTAACATCCCTTTTAAGTGCCAGGAAACAGAAGCTCAAATCTGTTTGCCATTACTAGACATAATTGGTGCTATCAAAAAGCACTGCCCTACTAAGACCCCCCTAGCTGGGGGACTGTGGCGTAGACACCCATACAGTCCAGT